ATGCTATTTTCTACTTTTTTTTTTCTTGATTTTGTCATATTAATTGATAATTTAGGATTCACATTGCTTTGAACAAGAAGAGCCATTTTTTTTAAGGAAGAGGTTATTTTTGGCACTTGAACTATTCAACATTTCATAAGGGGTCATGGGTATAATCACGATCCTTTTTAATGACCATTTTAATTGACATAAAATGATATGTTTCTCTTTGATGGCCAACGATTAAGTTGGAGGGTTAAGTGACATACAAAAGAGTAAGGTATTCAATTCTAGAGTATTTAAAATATTGGATTAGCGTGAGATGACCCTTCAATCTCAAGGACCTATGCATCCATAGGCTTTAAAAAAGAAATAGTAGTAAATATTTTATATGATTCATCATATAGTTTTTGGGGCATTTACATACATTCCACCTAATTCCTATGTAATTACATGTCTAACACCAAAACATATACTTTTTATATTTATATTACCCAAATATTTCGTATCACATTAAAAATACTGTCATTTTAACTCTTAAAAAGTGAATGGCGCGGGGGATTGGAGTTGAACCGGCCCCAACCAGTTTAGTAGGAGAAGGCTCGGTCTAGCAGGAGGCTAGACTCGCCCCCCTTCTCCCTTTTTTTATTTGGCGGGAATTATTTTCCCTTATGTTTTTGTTTCCCGCCTATCTATATTCTATTTATATGTGTGTTGTTGTCCTATGGTTTAATTTTTGCCAAGTTTCTATCCAAGATAGCCATCGGTTGTTGTTTTCCTTTCTAGGGTTGTATCCAAAAGCAAGGGATGCTCCAGTTTTAACTCGACCTAAGATGGTGTGTATCCTTTGCTCCATTGCTCCTCTCTCGTGATATTGGCGTGGTTCCCTCCTCTCCCGTGACTTTGCCTTGGTTCCCTCCTCTCCCGTGACTTTGCCTTGGTTTCCTTCCTCTCCCATGACCAACTTGCGACAGTTTCCTTCCTAGTTACATAGACCCCTCCACATATTCTTTCTTACCTTCCTCCCACAAGCACCGATCAACGAACACTGCATTAGCTCATCACCCCATCTTCAAGCCCTTCAACCCGCTGTCCATCGACCATTCCCCTTCGTCTTAGTCTGAGAGTCATGTCATATTGTATTTCATTTCTTGTTTTGAGTCATGATTGTAACATCGATATTTTTTAGCAATAAGAATGTGTTTTTCCTTTGGATTTGTGATTAACTTCTGTATCGATTGATATCAGAGCTAATATAACCCTTATTATATTTTTCTAACATCCGCTTTGCCCCCCTCTAGAAAATTTTCTTTCTCATTCCCAAACCATAGCCAAACATTAACCTAACCCTAATTTAAATCAGCAGCCCTAAATCAAAATTTTACACCCTCATTCACCACCTAACTCCAAATCCTAGTCATGCTACCTAGGAGATACATGCCCGAGCCTACCGGGAAAGAGATACAATGTGAGATTTGCGGACATCGAGGATGACACCCCGGAGGGATTTACCCTTGATGCTGATAGGGAAAGCTGAAGAGGAGAAGGGGACAAAAATTTTAACTATAGGAAGGATTTCAGTGATGAAAAAGAAAGAACACGACGTTTCGTAATCTAGTGCTAGAGGAGGTCCAAAGATGAAACATTTGTTGGAGGACAGAGAGATAGAATCAAGGTGGATCTATTAGGGTTTGAGAGAAGTATGGACCCGAAACAATTTATTAATTGGCTACAGTCTGTTGAACAAATTTTTGAGTATTAAGATGTGTTAGAGGATAGGAGGGTCAAATTACCTGCTATCATGTTGAAGAAGAGTGCGTCTTGATGGTGGGAAAACTTATAGTGACAAAAGAAATGAGAATGCAACGATGAGATTATCAAGTGGAAGAAGATGAAGAAAGCCAAACAGAAGAAATATCACCCACCACATTACTGCCACGACATGTTCCTGAAACTTCACAATCTACATCAGCGAGACCTTTCCGTGGAGGAGTGCATAGCTTAGTTCAATTACTTACATATGCAATGGGAGCTGACCAAGTCAGAGGAGCACACTATAGCCCAGAACCTTGGGGGCCTGAAGCCCGCTATTAGCAATCTAGTCCAGCCACAACCTTATTGGTCACTTGAGGATGTCCATACCTTAGCAATGAAAGTGAAAAGATAACAAAAACAGAGCGGACATCTACCACCAGTCCGACAAACACGCATAATGGGAGACACCAGTAGCAAAACACCTCAGGGAGTTGAAAAGGCTAGTTCGTATAAGGATAGAGCCACCCCAGTGAGAGGAAGTCTGAGAAGAGGAACACACCTGCTACAGTCTCCGCCAGAAAATATTTCAAATGCCACAGATTTGGGCATATTGCCTCTAGCTGCCCAACAAGCCTAGTCATGTCTTTTACTGAGCATGACGCTGTGGAAGAGGTTAGTGATGGGGAGAAAGCTGAGGAACATGGTGAGGTGTATCATATGCTATCCAATGAAGGAGAGCCATTTGTGGTTCGATGGATCCTACAGATTGAGGATACAAGGGATCCGTAATGGCTTCGCCACAATATATTTTATACCTGCTGCAAGGTGAACGAGAAAATATGCAGTCTCATCATCGATGGGGGGAGCAATAAGAATTTGGAATCTACACAGGTGATAGAGAAATTATATCTTACGACTCAGAGGCACTCACATCGATATTCTCTTACGTGACTAAAAAAGGAGAATAGAGTCAATATTGACTGGAGGTGCCTAGTGGAGTTTTCGATTGGGAGCCAGGTATATGATCAGGTGGTGCGATGTCGTTACTAGGGATGCCTGTCACATTTTGTTGGGGAGACCATGACAGTTTGATCGAATAACTCAACATGACAGATTTAGAAACCCATATTCTTTTACCAAGGATGAGAATTACATCATACTACTTCATTCGACGGAGCTTGAGATTACAAAAATTTGTACCGAAAGAGCAACATCAGTGAGACCAGTTTTGGTAATGATAGTGAATGATGAGACTGGACCCTAGCTTTTGACACGGGAAGGACACAACATATGACATTTTGGGATATCAGTGCCACCACCATGTGGGGAGGTTCAGGTTACCCCCACTTCAAATCTGGTTAAGTTGACTGCGAATGACTTTGGGAGTATTCATCAGCAGAGGGGAGCCACGCAAATTCAAGTCATTTCAGTAATACATTCCTAGAAGATTGGACTGATGTGCATGTTTGCTCGTATGTTGGGAAAGATCATCAGGTGTCTTGGGAGATGATGCAGTTGTCAGTGGGTTATAGGAATTGCTAGGATCACAAACGAGAGCCAAAAGCTTCGACGAATAAAGTCAAAGCTCCTCCAAATTCGGGAGACCGGCGCAGGGGCTTGGGGCTGAACATACCCCAAGCATTTCAG